TATGTTCTGTTTAGACATCCTGTTGAATTTATACTGTGATTTCATTATGAAAAATATTTGAGTTCAAAATTTCTCTCCATCATCAATCTATCCTTGAACCTTGATTTACAATTTGATTTTACGGTTGTTTTCTTTCTGCATTCTTATTTACTCGTACATATGTTTTCTACTTCTGAAATTTGCAGCTCGGCAATCAAGAGTTATTATGTCCTGAAAACAACATGCAAAGTTGTAGATTTAACTTTGTTGGAGACAATCTAGGGTAAATGTCATAGTAGTATTTAATAGAGTTAAGTGTTCTCTTATCCATCTCCTTTTGAAGGGTGAAAATTTCTTAAAGCATTACTTTTCTTTCTTCTCACAGTTGTTCTAGCCTTTTGTTTTTTCTTTAATATCACAATGTACTTTGTATGTACACATTTACATGTCTCAGAAACCAGTTTTCTCTGTTTGTTATCATCAATATTATCTGATTGACCTAAACATCGCCTTGTCTCGTCCGTCCTTTTACTTTTCTCGGTCCTTTGGGTTGCCAATGGCAAGATTCAAACTTATCGGATGCCACCTCTTAAAGGTGGTTGCATGAACTAACTAATCTAAACTTTGGCATCATTCCCCCCCCCCCCTCCTTGTCGGAGATTTAGTTTGTTTTGGACATGCAGACACACCTGCAGTAACAGCACAAGTTGGATTCTGATAACATTTTGACACAGTTTACTATTGTTATTATTAGGTTTAGCCTCTTAAACATCCCAGTACATCCGAGAAAGATTAAATTTAAGTTACTCTGCGAAGCATGGAGTAAAAGTTAACTATGATACCATAGCCTATAGGTCATATATGACATTATACATTTGATGAAATTTAACCGACTCTGCCAAGCATGGACTAGTTCACGTGTATTTTATTGTTAATGTGATAATATTGTTAACATGATAACTTACACGGTTTTATATTAATTTTTTATAATAAATTAACTTTTAATTTTTTTTATAATTTTAGAATTATTATGTTTTGTCATGAAAACTTTAACAATTTACTCAATGCCTATTAAAATCACATGAATTTTGCTGGAAAAGGAATGATGATAGTTAATTTAATTAAAAGAAGTGCCTAATTGTATACATGTCTTATTATTAAGAGAGAGAGAGAGAGAGAGAGAGAGAATGGTATTGTATAAATTGACTCTATATTTATAGTATCTGCTTTATAACAATTTACAATTTCAGTACACGTATTTTTTTCTATTAATTGAACATGTATTATATTCTTAAATTAAATATTAGAATTTTAACTCATATAAAGTGAAATAAAGTGAAATATTTTTAATCATTTGATCAATTTATAGACCTCAAATATATCTTATTTTAATAAAAAAAAGTAAAAAATGATGGAAAACATAAAATAAATAAGTAAAAATATATATAAAAAAATATCAAACGCTTCCTAATAATTTATTACAAGAAATTGTTTGGCTCTGGAGATAAATTATCATGTATTTTGGATAATTTTAAATATGTGGAATTAAAATGGTGTATATCATGTATACTAACAGTTCAGACTTCAGAATCCATCTAAACTAGAAGGGCTTTGAAAAATGACAAGTCGGTTATAAGTTGAAACCCAGGCAGCCCAATTGGTCTACTACGCACTAATCCTACACCCTTGCTTGAACTTTCCCCGTGATTTTGCGACGCCCACAGCGCTGTTTCCGCCTGTTCTGCCTACAAAGGTGATCATCCCCAACCTTAGTTTCGATTTTGTTCCTCCCTTTCTTCTTCATGCCACCCTGTATTTTAATGCACATAAAGTTTTAGGGATTTATGCTTTATTAGTTCGGGAATTGATTTTTTTAAATCAAAATTTAGGGGTTTCTTGGTCAATACAGAAAATTTGAAATGGAGGAAGATGATGGTTACGTTGAGTATATCCCGGTTGCAAAACGTCGAGCTATGGAAGCTCAGAAAATCCTACAAAGAAAGGGCAAGGCTTCTGCACTGGAAGATGTAGCTGAAAAGTCCAATGTTGCTGAAGTGAAGCCTAGTTTACTTATAAAAGCGACTCAGCTTAAAAAGGACCAACCTGAGTCCAGTCAAATGGAACAAATTGTACAGCAAGAGAAAGAGATGATTGAACATTTATCCGACAGGAAGACACTTATGTCAGTTCGCGAGTTGGCTAAAGGGATTACTTATACAGAACCCTTGATGACAGGGTGGAAGCCGCCTTTGCATATTCGAAGGATGTCTCGAAAAGATAGGGATTTCATTCGAAAGCAATGGCATATTATTGTTGACGGGGAGGAGATTCCTCCTCCTATTAAGAATTTTAAGGACATGAAGTTTCCGGATCCACTATTAAAGAAGTTAAAGGCAAAGGGAATTGTGCAGCCAACTCCAATTCAAGTCCAAGGCCTGCCTGTCATTTTTTCTGGAAGAGATATGATTGGGATTGCCTTTACAGGATCAGGGAAAACACTTGTATTTGTGCTTCCGTTGATTATGATTGCATTACAGGAGGAGATGATGATGCCCATTCTTACAGGAGAAGGTCCTTTTGGGTTGATTGTCTGTCCTTCCAGGGAGCTTGCTAGGCAGACATATGAAGTGGTGGAGCAGTTTTTGGTACCTATGCGGGAAAATTGGTATCCAGAACACAGGCCATTGCTTTGTATTGGTGGTGTAGACATGAGGTCTCAGTTGGATGTTGTGAAGAAAGGGGTTCATATTGTTTTTGCTACTCCTGGGATATTGAAGGACATGCTTACCAAGAAGAAGATGAATTTAGACAATTGCAGGTATGACTCTTAATTCAATTCTTTTAGTAACACCATTTTCAATTATCTAATGTGCTACATTTAGTCTTATTACCATTGATATAATATGTGTTTGAATTTAGTTGATTATGGTAGTTTAAGCCAATACTATATGCATAGACCGATGTCAGGAGTCCGATGCTAAAATTTATAGAGCCTTGGTGGGGGCCAAGCTATGTTTGTTTTGCCCGTTAGTTTGTTTTTACTTGTTTAAATATCTTTCTGTAATTTCGTCAATATGTTGTGCTATTTGTGTATTTGTTTCTGATGAAAATAATTAGCGTTCCTCGAACTTTTCCAAATTTTCTTTTCTTTATTTTCAAAGGTGTTGGATGGAACCAACACTGTTCCCAGATTTTTTAATTTCTTAAATTTGCATTTTTTTAGGAAAAGACTTTCTGTCTTTTGGTTTCCTTTGTTTTTAATTTTGTTTATATATCTCTATGTACTTCGTCTATTTCATAATTTTAGGTGCTTGTGCATCGGTTTTCGATACTTATTTAAAATTATTTCAAATGTTCTGAATCTGTCACAGCAACCTTTCTTACCCGCAAAACATAATTACATATATGCAGTTTCGAATTGAACTTTTTCCTTCTTAATGGGTAACGGTACTCAAGCAGTTGTCTGTTCTGTAGATATTTGACATTGGATGAAGCAGATAGGCTAGTGGATTTAGGCTTTGAAGATGACATCAGAGAAGTTTTCGACCATTTTAAAGCTCAGAGACAAACCCGTTTGTTCTCTGCTACCATGCCTACCAAAATTCAAAATTTTGCCAGAAGTGCTTGAGTCAAGCCAGTTACTGTTAATACTGGCAGAGCAGGAGCTGCAAATCTCGATGTGATTCAGGAGGTTGAGTATGTGAAGCAAGAGGCCAAGATCGTCTACCTCCTTGAATGCCTACAGAAGGCGCCTCCACCTGTTTTAATATTTTGTGAGAATAAGGCTGATGTGGATGACATTCATGAATATCTCCTACTGAAAGGAGTTGAAGCTGTGGCAATTCATGGAGGCAAGGACCAAGAAGAGAGAGAGTACGCCATTTCATCCTTTAAAGCTGGCAAGAAAGATGTCTTAGTTGCAACTGATGTTTCATCAAAGGGTTTGGATTTTCCTGATATTCAACATGTGATCAATTATGATATGCCTGCGGAAATTGAAAACTATGTCCACAGAATCGGACGAACAGGAAGATGTGGTAAAACAGGAATAGCAACCACATTTATAAACAAGAATCAAAGTGAGACATGCTTGATTTGAAACACTTACTGCAAGAAGCCAAACAGAGGATTCCACCTGTCTTAGCTGAGCTCAGTGATCCAATGGAAGATGTGGACGCAATCACCAATGCAAGTGGTGTAAAGGGGTGTGCTTATTGTGGTGGGTTGGGGCATCGTATCCGGGATTGTCTCAAGTTAGAGCATAAAAAAAACATGGCTATTGCCAATTCTAGAAGGGACTATTTTGGTTCTGGTGGTTACAGAGGAGAAATTTGAGTTATGCTTAAATTACTGAACTTGTTTTGGTTGTATCAAATATAAAGAATCTGGGGACGAGGGCCCTTTAAATATTGGGTTGTTGTGCCTTAATACAACTTCTGTTTCTTTGACATGAATTAATGCAAAGTTCAACAATGAGGAAAAATAGAATCATGTGTCATATTGTTTCTTTTGGGAAACTTCGCTGCAGTTTGTTTTGTCCTTTTTAAAGTTGTTTTTTTGCTTGTTTTCCAATATGCTAAATACTGAGGAATTATCTGCGAGTCGAAATTTAAAATGAGCTTTAGCACATAAAAAAAAAGGTGAAAACGGGGGGAAATCTCGAGTTCAAGTCATTGTTACTTCCATAGAGTTTTGTAAGATAGCATTGAAACTTTGGGAGGCCTTCAGAATGGAACTTGATCAATGTTTCTAATTACAATGCAAATTTATGTCTAATTGTGTGGATGTGTGTCTCTGATCGAGAATTGCTAATACTTTGGCTTCAAGATATCCAAAACCTGGATTTTCTTATAGAATTTGCGACAGACTGTTCTAGGCTGTTCCTTGATCAGCATCACTGTCAATTAGATGTTTCAAGGTTTAGGTGAAAGGAATGTAGTGCTACTGTATCACTAAAACATGGTGAAGTGATTATGCAATGCCATTTTTAATCCGATTTATATACCTTATGCTGCTGCTTTATTGCTCATTGTGAAAATACTCTTTTTTGGTACAATGGAGAATAGACCTTGGGGGTTGTAAATGCCGGGATTTGACTTTATAGGATAATACTTCTTAATGATGGTTGCTTGAACCAGCTGGGTTATGTGTGGGGTTCAATGCTATGAAATTTTACTCCTTAACATCCAGGGCTCAAACTGGAGAAGGTTTGATGACCAAAGATCCATAGCCATCTTCTATATCCTTATTAAGGATGGTGTAGTGCAGTGTCTCAAACAGCTTACAGATTTCATTAATTAGTTTTTCCTTTCCACCACTGTCTCTAAGAATGCTTGCTTCATAACTTCACTTTCTTCCTCGAGTCTCTTCAATCTTGTATTCAGGTCTTCAGCTTCACTAGCCTGCAAAGCCGCCTCACCTTCACAGAATTTGCTGCAAACCATTTTTCTTGGATTACTTACTATCACTCCAGATTGATTCTGTGCCTGTTTTGAACTCGAAGAAGCCCCTTCGTTCTGGAAACTGAAAAACAAGTTCTCTTGTTTCTTGATAGAGTCTGCTGAGACATCAATCTTTCTTGCACGCTCACTTCTACTGCTTGCTGCCTTGTATTTCTTCAGTTCTCGATCTAATTCCATCTCAGATGAAGCTAGTTCTTCTATCATCTTCATAGGTGGAATTTCTCTAAGAAGCTGCTTCAGAGAATTGAAACTCCGGATTTCAAACACATCGGAAGCTATCAATTGCGAAAGGATCAAAACAACACTTTCCGCGAAATGATCGAGCATAAAATGGAGCAATCCTGAAAACAACAAACATAAAGGCTAGAGAAAGAAAGAATGATCGGGAAGAGACTGGTTCTTGCAATCGAACGACTGGAAATGGAGGCAGTTGAAACGATGGTTGCTTACCTGAGAAAGATACGCCCAGTGACAGTGACACCATTTGCAAAGGAATGCTTGCCCCCTTTCCGCTTGGCTTCTAAGAGAGTTTGGGGCACTGCAGTCACAACTCACAAGCAGAGTTTAAACAAGCTCCTTTTAAGTTTGCATAAGAAATGATTGATTTTTGCTGTTGGAGTCTTGAGAAAGAGTGGGACATAAGCTATCGAGAAATTGCTAAGCACTTTCATGGGGAATGCCACTCTCTTCCAACACTTGCCCTTCGCTGCAACCGCGTCGGTTTCATTCAACAGCAAGTTTTTTGGTCGGAACTATCTAAATCTGAATTTACTTATTTGATATTCGAATTCTCATATTGCATGATAACAAATCTTTTGAATTTGGTTTGTTTCTTTTGTTTATATATATATAAGAACTTAAATGTTTGGGTAAATATACCCCGTTTCTCCATCACACTTCCATTGCTAACCATACATAAAATTCCCGAGTTTAAACTTTGCCATATGATGTGTAAGAAAGTGGTTTATCAGATCAAGTCCAGGCAACAACCATCAATCTTCTTCATATACTGTTCAACTACACAGTTTCCCCCTTATGTTCCAAGAATAAAAAATGCTATCACAAATAGTTGCACCTTGTGAAGGAGCAGCAGTTCAACGCAGTTTGAAGCTTGAAATCTTCAACAGCCAAGGTTTCCAAGATATACAGAAGCGTTTTACAGACGACGATGACTTGTTTCGACAAAGCAATGCAAAGGAAAAACAAAATTGGGATGTAAATGAACATCTGATTCAAATGTCTTTCGAAAACATAATACGGATCTTGTGACTTATGCCATTAGCTCCTTACCAATTATTGGCATAACCAACAGGTATTCCCACCTCCATTCCATTGTGTTATGGTCAGAGCTCTAAAAACCTGCACCAAATAAAACATTATTTGAAGAAAAAAACGCAACAAATGAAATCCAACCTATGTCACAAAATTATGGTGGTATGTAGTACAAGCTTTTTATTTTTCAACATTGATTCCAAGCTAGCCATTTAAGGAAAGCTTCAGCCACATTGTATAATATTAAGAAGCATAGCATTAGCATTCACCGTTAATACAGGTTTCTTAAACCACATATTTCAGCACTTATCAGAAATCCAAATTGCTGATTATATGGACTATGAAGTGCTGACCCCCAAAGATCTAAGTGGCTCGATTCTAGGAAGGGGTAGACACATTACCACTACCATTCACCAACTCCTTCAACTATCAGTGAGAGCTGTTAACTCGAAAGGAATCTAACAAACCAATACTGAAATGGTTGAGGATTCTTATAAAGCACAACCACCCCCAAAAAATAAAACACCATATAAAATCTTTGGAACTAGGAATGGGATGGTGGCATTCAACGAGGAAAACCCTTCCAAAAATAGGCGTATGCTGTCTTGATTGGAGAGCACAAGGTATTCTTTAGTAAAAGGCCAAAGAATAGTTCGCTTTGTGCTCACCACACGGCTCCGTGAATCTACTTATGAAATTAGCTCCTTTATTTATGGACGTCGGTTGGGATGTTCTTTTATGTTGCGCAGCTATGTGGGATTGTTTTATTCTCCAGTTTCTACTCCCTGAACCTTTGGGTCTGCAATTCCCCCCTTGTGCAAAATTACACACTTTTCTATCACGTTTCCCTCATTTCTCCTGCTTTATTTTATGAAGCTTTCAATTTTAACTTCAAAACCTCTGGCCGTCACCCCTCTGATATACTGTTTCTATTTAGAGCTCAAACTCTAAGTGGGACAAATATAGTTTTGGTTTCGATGAGTTGCTGAAGCACCAAAAGATTGTCTTTTGACTTTAAGCTTTGATCATCAATCTTCCAATTAGACCGAAGCAACAAAGAAAGTTAACGTTTTTTTTGGGTAGTGCTGTAGCGGCAGAAACACAGTTCCCATTAACTCAGTGTTGTCGCCTACGCATTACTTATTCTGTCAACAGGCATTGATATCGGCACTGAAAAGTAAATTGATCTGATAAACCTGTGAATTTGCATAATGTTCTAGTAAGCACCGAATGTCCTCTGTGCAAAGGAATGAGGATCAAGCAGTACTTATTTAGACTATGGGGTCAATACATATGTAGGACTTAATTGCTTGGTGGACTTTAGTTTCATGTTTCTATGCATTTTCCTGCTATCACAGGAGATCCGGAAGAAAACCAGCTATATTGTAATGCGAGCAGAAGGAATCTTTGATGTCGATGCTAATACATCTATTGATCAACTTTCTGAAGATCTACATCTCGAATTGCATAAGTAAGCTACTTATATCACTTGTTGCTTGACCATAAGCTTTCATTCTACTTGCAAGTTTTTGCTCGTATAGTTGCAGTTTTCATAAATGTGCATTCAAGTGCTAAAACGTAGGTCTTCCGTTAATATGAGATATATATAGTTGAAGAGCCCGTTTGTCAAATATGCATATACACATGATTTTTTTTTTTTTTTATGTTTTCTAGGAACACCAGGTATGAGGAAGTGTCAAGTTGTCTGTAAAAATAGCTAAATTATAACATAATAGAAAAGAAAATAATTCTGTTTGATCCATCTAGCCTTATATTTACGTTATCCAAAGGAGGTTCAATCTTACCCCAAAGATTTGAAGCCCCACTACTTTGATAATTAGGCAACAACATCTCAAATGCCCTCACTCATTGGAACCACCATGCATTTACCAATGCAACTTGCCAATCCTGAAACATTCATTTGGACAGGTTGAAAAACAATAAACAAGTAAATTCACAAGGTTAAAGCAGCAACAACTAAGTTTGTTTACAATTATTGAAAAGAACACAAAGCTAACATCTTGACAAATAATAATTCATACTCATACCATAGGAAACAGAACAGCTCTGTTTTTACTTCAAGATCAGGATCAAAATCCATCTTGTCTAACATTATCCAACGGAGGTTCAATTAAACTTCCATTGCCAAGCAGCTTCTGAGGAAACCTCGTCTTTTTCTCCACCTCGCCGTTATCCCCAAACAATTGCTTCCTATAAACCTGATGGAGCCTCCCAAACAAGTCCTTCTTAATAGACTCGAATGCCATATCCAACCTTTCCAACTGCTCCAATGCATTCTGGTTATACATAAACAACCCGTAATACAAATCAAAGCTATCCCCTTTGGTATTCTCCACCAAATTCAACAATGTCTCGTACCCTTTGGTGTTAATAGGCGAAGACTCCAACCCAAATTTCTCCAACAGCCTCCCCATTGTATGAGTCACGAACTGAGACCCCGCCGCGTACTTATCATGCTCCATGCAACACATCTCCACCATTCTACACCCTTCATTCTCGAAAATGCCCAAAAACTTGTCGCATCTCTTCACTCGACTCTCCTCGTCCCCGATCCTCACTTTGTCGTAAACAAAAGGAAGCCCCGCCCACGCGGTTTTACCACTTTCGGGTCCGAACATGGGATGGGTACATAAGATATCGAAATCCAGAGGCAAATACTTCAAGAAAAGGTTCCTGGGGAACTCTTTAACCGAAAGAACGTCCACGAAAAGGGTGTTTCGACGCAGTCTTTGAAAGGGTAGTTTTTGAAGGAGAGTTTCGGTTGAAAGAATGGAAGTAGAGAGAAGGACGACATCTGGGTGTTGCTCGAAAAGATCGTTAGGGTCGGAGTAGAAGGAGATGCCGAGCTGGTTGGCGAGGCCGGCGTAGTTAGTTCTTGAGTGAGCGAGGATAGTGTGGTGGTGGCGGAGGAAGGTTTTGGAGAGAAACTGGCCAAAGTTGCCAAAGCCGACGATGGCGATCTTGAGGGACGTGGATTGAATGTAGCGGTTTTTGAGATGGGATTCGTAGTCGAAAGGTTGAGCGGCGTCGATGCAGTTGATTTGCAAAGAAGGGAAATAGGAGGATTTGGAGGGATTGGGGACGAAAGGTTGAGGGAGACGGTGAGGGAGGGAAAGGGAGTGTGAAAAGGCAAGTGGAGGGAGGGATTGAGGATTGAGAGATCTCGTGGCAGAGGAAACCAACATTGTTGAAGCCTGCGATTTGTTTAATTAGCTCTACTGGGAATTTATCTTTATAAATGAATAGTAATTAAAAAGGGAAAATTTCAGAGTAGGCTTTATTTATATTTCTTCTGGTTAACAGAATTCATGGCTGGATTCTCCTTAAAATGTTATCAAATTTGCTCCTTCTCTAAAATTAGAGGGGTTAATAATGAATAATTAATGAAATTTATTATTAAATTACTTTTTACACTCACAAACACAACCTCAAAGTTATTTGTATATATATATATATATATATATATATATATATATATGGCTGAAAAATAAAATATTTATTTTTACATTTGAAAAATGAGTAATCAATTTGAAACTAAAGAGTGAAAAAACTGGATTATATAATACGTATCAGTTCTCTCTCGTGCGTATCTGTTAGCCATACTATCTCTGTGTTGATTCCCTCGTGTGCTTGAATACCTTAACACGAAAAACCATAATGATTCAACCAACTACTACGCCGTAATGATATAGGCTTAGGCCCATCTTCGCTTCTCTTCGTCGTCAGCCTTCAACCATGCAAATTCTGAACGACACAAGAGGAAGATAAGGTTGTGCCTGGGGGGACCTTGCAACTCTACTAATATAAGCAATTCGTATATAACGATGGTCACTTCATTAATAATTATTCGCCAAGAAAAGCACGCATCAAAACTATCTTTAAGACTCTGGAAAGCAGCTCTGTGGTTTTAATGTTTGAAAAAGATTGAGATCACAAAATTTCAAAATTAAGTTGTTCCGACACTTGGAAAATAAAACAGACTACCTTGACTCATCCACGATAACAAATGATCCTTTTCTGTGATCAGTCATCATCGACCCATCAAAAACAGTAATGACTATATCTAAGCAACACTAACAGTTTGGATGGATACAGAAACTTGTTTTGGGAACAACATTGTTACACGGAAGTTAAGCTGCACGTAACAATCCGTCCCTCCCCAGTAGTGTTTTCTGGTCATCCCTTCTTTAAAATATCTTGAAGAGCAAGCCACCATGAGTGGCAAAGAAGGGAGCGAACACGAGTGACTCGACTGCCATAAGCTTGATCAGGATGTTAAGTGAAGGGCCAGAGGTATCTTTGAGTGGATCACCAACAGTGTCACCAATGACAGCTGCCTTGTGAGGATCAGATCCTTTTGGACCAAGGGTCCTCGCGTGCTCTGAGGCACCAGCCTGACATTGGAATATATATGAATCATAAATAAGCCAGTAAAAAATCCGACTTGAATATTTTGAAGTACTTACCTCGATGTACTTCTTGG